GAAGAGCGGGGGGTGGTATTTGCAGGTTATTATTTGGTTTTAATCTGTGATGTTTTAGTCGCTTCCTGTAAAGCCATCTCGAGCCAAGAGGAAACGTGGAATATAAATGTTTAAATCAAATCGAGTGGCTCATCTGCTGCCACTTGGGCTTGAAGGAAACCCGGCCTCAGAAACCTTCGAGGGGGGACCGGTCTTCTTGTACTCACGTTTTGCTTCTCTTGCTCCTCTCGTTTCAGATGCGCTGGCTCCCTCCCTCCGAGGCCACTTCTCAGGGCTGGAAGTCCCGACAGTTCTGCTGAATACTGTGTAAGTGGCTGGGAGGGCACACCCCCTGGTTCCAGTACTCCTGGTTATCGCTGGGGGGGGGGGGGGCGTGGGAACCATTGCTTTGTTTTTGTTTGTGTGCGTGCTTGCGAGCCTGGAAGTCGTGGTGCTTTCTGGCGACCCCTAGTGGGGTTAGGACATTTCAGAGAGGTGGCTTGCTATTTCCTGCCTCCACGCCTGTCATGACCCCAGAGGGGTCTTTGGGTTCCGCCGCCACCACCCTGGATTTATGGTCCCTTGGGAGGCCCAGGGTACCTTCCCAAGCCCCTTTTCAGCCGAGCAATACAGGCGTGATTGACCCAGGCAGAGAAAATAATTACACAAAAAGGGTTTATTAAAACAACAGTGGGGCAGGGAAAAACAAGACACGGCAAGGTGCTTAAAAAGGGGATAACAGTGTGAAAGGAAAAATAAACATAAACTAACGCAGCTACCTGTTACTCCTAACTGTTTTACTTCCAGGCCCACAGCCTGCCTGCCTAACACTCACGCTGAGGGATCCTTTCCTCGCAGACCAACCTGTCTTCTCACTGAGATCAGGTTGCAGAGAGACGAAGGATGGAGGGATCTTCCTCTTCCCAGCCCAGCCTATCTTCTCACTAAGATCAGGCCGCAGAGAGAGACAAAAGACACCCTTTTCCCTCAGCGAACAGCTCAGATTCCTTCTCCCACCAGACTATCACAGTCTCCTCCCAGACTGACTTCCCAACCGACTCCCACGGTCTCTTTAGAATCCTCTCTGCCTCTCCCAATGCCTTCTGGGAGTTGTAGGCCTAGCTGCCTCCTACTGCCACCCAGGCCTCTTAGGCTGGCTAGGCCGTACTGGCATAGGCCAGATCATGACAACGCCCCTCCCTGGTATTCCTTGGAGGTCGCCCTTCCAAGTACCCGCCGGGGTCGGCTTCCGAGATCTGACGAGATTGGGCTCGCCCGGGCTATTATCATTGTTATTACCGTTGTCGTTATATTTATTTAATCAATCAATTTATACCCTCTGCCCTATCCCACAAGTGGGCTTAGGGTGGCTTACAGCATAAAACCCATAAAACAGTAAAAACAATAAAAAAACCAATAAAACAGTAGGTGGCAAGATAGACAACAACAATAAACCCCATGCCTCATATCAGGTAGAAAGAGGCACTCCAGAAAACTCCAATGCTCAGCATTGTTCCCTCTAAGCTGAGTTAATGTGAGCTAGCTCACAGTTTTTTGTCTCCGTTCAGGAAGGACGGCTCCAGAGCAAACTAATTTATGCAGTAGCCACATCACTCGCTCACAACGTTAATGCCAGTAGCTCACAAAGTAGAATTTTTGCTCACAAGACTGCATAGCTTAGAGGGAACATTGATAGCCCAGTAGTATTACCTAAAACAGCAAGGTCCTGGGGAGGGGGCCATAAATAGGGGAGGTCAGAAAGGGGAGGAGAGGAGAAGTGGAGGTCAGAAGGGGGAGGAGAGGGAGGTGGTGGAAGGCACTGCTGATGGAGCTGCGTGGTCAGACTAGCCCTTTCAGTGCTGGTTGCTAAACACACACACCCCCCCCCCCAGTGCAGGATCTCCCTTTTGAGAGGAAGAAGGCCCCATCTCTGACCCCCTCGGCAAGCCACGATAGCTTTCCAGCCAGCCCAGGTCCAGTCTGTTGATTTTTCTACTGAACTTGGCACTTTTTCATCAAAAGGCAAAACTCAAAGCAGGCAACTGTGTCTCAGCGTTCGAGTGCCTGGAAGATCTGCGTTTCCCCTTCTCAGAGACAGCAGACAAGAGGGAGGGAGGGAGGGAGGGAGGGATACTCTGGCAGCCCAAGGGACCAGTATAAGCCTATTAATTGGAATTCAGAGCGTGGACAGATCTAGTTCCACAGTGGATGCTTCACAATGTTCCGGAGCTTATTTCTCTTGCGTTAAAAATTCTTAGAATCATAAGAGTTGGAAGGGATCTCCAGGGTCATCTAGTCCAACCCCCTGCACACACAGTGCCTCCCCTCCACACACCCCCAGTGACCCATGCCCAGAAGATGGCAAAAAACCTCCAGGATCTCCAGCCAAACTGGCCTGGAGATAAACTGCTTCCTGATTGTCGGAAATCTGATGGTGAAGATTTCAGTTTTAGGAACCTGGGGTTGGAGGAGGGCGTATGAAACAGCCCCGAAGATGCTATGAGACTGCCGCAGGAATGACTGCATTCTTCTTAAGGAGCCCTGGGATGACATGTTAGATTGTATTCACCTGTATCTTGCTGCTCATACTATGGGCAGGTTTTGACCTGCGTTGGCAGAGTAGCCTTCCGTGCCAAAGGTGCACTGTTACAGGGCCAGTTTTGCGGATGCCACCTGCCTTCTGGAGAGGGTAACGTTGACTCTTGGTTTGCCTCGCACTCTTTTTCCTTCCTTTATCAGAAAATGTCCCCGATCTGTTCAAGCTCTGTAAACTTTGGACCAGTCTAGGTCCTTTGCCATTTGGGCTGAGAAGAGGGTGAGAACATACCTAACTCTATATTGCTCAAATGTATTTTGAAATAATTTTAGCCCTCACGGAATTCCTTCTGTCTCCTGTTCCTGAATCTGGGGGGGAAATAGGTCGCTTACCCAATAACTGTTCTTTGTGTGGTTTTGTGACAGGCTCCTAAGAAAAGTCTTTACCTTCCAGGGTAACGTTCAGAGGAATGCTTTATTCCATTGAAAGAACTATTCCTATGAACGTGGGACCTGTGGAGGCCTTTCCTATTGGACTGAGAGTTCTCTCAAAGTGTCTAGAGCACTCGCAATGAGAGGCGTCTAAGAAGGGGGCAGAATTACCTGGTGGAAAGTGCCACCAGATTGCAGCTGAAGTATGGTGGCCCTGAAGGGCTTTCAAGGCAAGGGATGAACAAAGGTAGTTTGCCATTGTCTGACTCGACGTTGCAAACATGGGCTTCCTTGGTGGCCTCCCATCCAATCACTAACCAGGGCCAACCCTGGGGGAGGGGCTGTGGCTGAGTGGCAGCGCATCTGCTTGGCATGCAGAAGGTCCCAGGTTCAACCCCTGGCATCTCCCGTTAAACGAGCCATGCAGTAGATGATGTGAAAGGCCTCTTCCTGAGACTCTGGACGGCCACTGCCAGTCTGGGTCGGCTGGAGTAGACCAAGGGTCTGATACAGTATAAAGCAATTTCACATGTGAGCCCTGCTTAGGGCAGACAGAATGATACTTTACATTCATTCCGTTTCCAAGACTACGTGACTCCTTATAAGGGCCAAAATATTAACATACTAATGCAATAATAATAAAATAAAGACCAAGACAGCAGTTCTTGAATCAATTAGCCACGGGTGAGAGGAGATTAACAAAAGGAGTCCCCCCACCCCTGGCTGTCAAAAATCTGCAATGAATAGTCCAAATAGGCCTTCCTGGTGCGGCGTCTTTCTGGGCGGGGGCCACAGCTGAAAAGGCCTTCCCTCAGGAGCGAGCCCACTGAAGCGTTCCTTGTGTTTGGATGCCATGTCTCCATAGATAAGTAGCCAATTCAAGGGGGGTGGAGGGGTGGGGTAAGAAATCGGATGGTTGTGGAGGTAACACTTTTACAGTACCGACTGCGGGAGTGTGGGATTTGGGCTGATGGAGAGCTTTTCTCACAATGCCCAAACTGCCCTGAAGTCTCCGAAAGGGAATTTGATGGTTCAAGGATCGTCGTGCCTACGTTGCCTAGGGTTCACGTATAAACAGATTTGCAGACCTGGTGAAGAGAAAAGCCGCTTTCCTCAAAAAGCAGAGATCCATACCCCAGTCACCTTCCCTCCCTGTTGTTCTTGTTTTTTGGCTGTTCTTAGCCAAAACAAAATAAATCTCCCTTTTTGAAAAATTAATGGAAATTTCACTGGCTGCAGATCAAGGTTAGATGGCCGCCCGCCGCGCAGGGCTCTTTTTGTGGCAGGAGCTCCTTTGCATATTAGGCGACACACCCCTAATGTAGCCAATCCTCCAAGAGCTTACAGAGCTCTTCTTACAGGGGCTACTGTAAGCTCTTGGAGGATTGGCTACATTAGGGGTGTGTCGCCTGATATGCAAAGGCGTTCCTGCTACAAAAAGAGCCCTTACTCAAGAATGCGCAGGCATGGGGTTATTGAGGTATGCAGGCGGGAAGGAGAGAGTGGGGAAGATGCAGATGGGCTCCTTGGACTGCAGTTTGGAAGGCAGGGTCCGAAGGCATCTTTTGGAGAGGTCCTGCTTAGGCAGCCGCTGTGGCACCAAGTGAGGTAGTCCTCTTCTGCTCTTCCGGCAGCTTCTGTTGACTAGTTGGGGCTGGCACGGGAAAATCCATGCAGTGCCCTGACCTGGGTAGCCCAGGCTAGCCTGATCCCGTCAGATCTGGGAAGCGAAGATCTTGGCTAGTATTTGGAAGGGCAACCTCCAAGGAACACTGGGGTGTGACACAGAGGCAGGCGATGGCAAAACCACCTCTGAAACATCTCTTGCCTTAAAAACAAGTCTAGTTCGCCACTTTAGTGACGCGTAGCACTAAAAAAAAAGAGCTAGAACTTCTGGCTGCCAGACTATCTTAGGATCTCTTAGCTATACTACACACTCTGCCATACGATAATTAATTAATTGCCCATGCAGTGGTCCAGAGGTCCTCCGAAGTCGCCAGGCAGGTAGTGAAAATGGCCGCAAGTGGGTGGGCGCTTGAGAGCTTTGTGTGGTATGGCTGGTGTGATGCCAGCTGGGAAAGCCAGTTGTGGGGGGAGGTGGCAGTAGATTCCTGGCAAGGGGACCTCATTTGGAGTTTAATAAGTGTTAAGTCGCTTGCTTAACAAAGTAGTCGGAGAGTGATTCAGCAAAGATTCAGCTTTATTCAACAACTCGAACACAACTCCAACACGGATCAACATCTGATAGCCAGAACAACTTTTACATTTGCAGCTGTCCTGCTTTTAAACTCTCCCGGCTAATGTAGCCACACCTACTATACAAATACCAACCGATTAGGTTGTCTACATAAAAACCAATC